TGAGATAAGCAAAGAGAATTACGCAGAGTCATGGACAGAGCTCTAGGGCTTTTTGTCGGGAAGCTGGAAAGTGACCCCTTGGGAATCTGTCCGCTGCATGGACAAGCCGTTCCCTTTCTTCGTATTCTTGCTATCCTTACTGTCTTTCGTATTCTCGCCCACTCGGCGGGTAACTGGTCGTCCGGTGCCTTCGTGGCTCAGCTCAGAGACGCCTTCAGCAAAACGCAAGGAGCCCTTGGGAGAAGGTGGCCGAGATGGACGTTCAGTAGCTGCAGCCGGATCTTGCTTGCCTGGCACCTCTCCCGATTCCAGCTTGGATTCTGTATTCCTACGAGGTTGCATAAAGAGCATTTTGCGTAAAGAGAAGCCTCGTTCTCCCATGGGAGGTCGGACTGGTGCGGTAGAGGATGATTGGATCGGGGCGCCATAAGGTTTTGCATTCTCGTCATCATCTACCGTCTCAAACTCCCAGTCGCGACTTTGAAGAGGTGGGGAATGCTGTGGTGGACGGTCTGCTGATTTGTGCTTTTCGTACCCAACGTGCTTATCGATGACATCTTCAAAATCTTCAATGACATCGCGTACTTTCTCTATCGGGACTCTCAGGCTGGCCAGGTGGCTATGGCGTTCGCGCAGTGTTGCCTGTTCTTCCGGCTTCAGGTCCCTGACGTGTACTTCCTCGCCGTCATTTTTCTCAATTATGATCTAGGCAACATTATGAGCATCTGATCCCGGAGGACAACTAGAGGAATTGTTACCTTGTGCCCTTCAACAAATATCTGAGTGCCTTTCTTGTCCGAATCTACCCGTTCTCGTGGTCCTTCAGGGTGTTGCGGCTTCTGCACCTTCTCCATGGACGATCTTGGTGATTTCTCCCTAGGCTTCTCCTTTCCACCTGCTTTCTGTTGTTTCTCCATCGACGCTCTCGGTGACTTCTCCTGGTATTTCTCCTTATCGGCATTAGGTTCAGCAGGGGTGAATTTGGGCTTGACACCAAGATTGCTCGCACGCCGAACCGCTTTCCTGACCTGTTGCTCAGTTGGTCAGCTGATAGAAAACTTCACCGTAAGCAACGCACCAAGCCCTCGAAAGTATTATCGTCCATGTTCCCCTCTGCTCGACGGCCATCAGAAACACGATATATTCCTTCTGCTCGGGATGGATTATCTGGATCTAACGACCGAACTTCGACTTCTTCACCGTTCTTTCGCTCAATGATGACCTGAAAGCACTCTCAGACATATTTCATAGTCAGGCGCGTAAAACTCACCGTATTCCCCTCTATCCAAGTCCTCTCGTTGTTAGCGGTGCAATCAACTCGCTCCTTCCTCAAAGCTCTGTCCTTCGCTGCAGCTACAGGATCTTTCTCCAGATCCGACGTCGAAGTTCGGCGAAGCAAGAACGGTCTCAACAGCGTAGCAGCCCTTCCCCTTCCTGGGGTGAGTCCTGGGGTGAGTCCTGCGGCCACTTCTGGATGGACTGGAGGCGGCGTTGGGATACGGTCCTTCTGATGAGCGGGTTCAGGCTCTTGAATGATAGGTTTCTCCTTTTCCGAAATGTCAGCCTCAGGGGCAGGTGTATTTGAATCCTCGGATTCCTCTTCGATGATATCTGAAATGCGTCGCTTTCCTTTCTCCAGATCGGAGTCGTCGCGATTGACCACGATGTCGTCTGGTCGATCGACCTTTCGGGCGTGAGACAACCAAGCTGGACCACCGGAGGCTTGTGTCCAAGTACGCGATATGGAGTGAACTCGGGAGTGCAGACGTTTGCCAACTGAAAAGAAAGGGATCGTTAAACCTGTTGGTTCGTCAATATTCGTGATACTTGGCAAGACAAGACGAAAGGACACACCATGGACTAAGACGGAGGACAGGACCAAGAAATACACAATCGGTTGGATCGTCAAAGCGAGGACATCCAGGCTTGTTTCGGGAGGGTATAGCTGTACGCTTATCAGTAACGGTGTCCTTGTTCTGGGGGAAGGAGCTGTACCGGAGTGGGGAGACGTTCAGTTGCAAGTGTAGCGATAAAGATGGCTCCGACTCCCTGCGAACACCATCATCGGTCTGAAAGGTCGACATAGAACGTTGCACTCACCATGGGTCCAAAATGTCCCGAGAAGACGGCCTCTCTGAAAGTCTTGATATCGGGCATGAAATTATAGAACAAGAGGATGAATGGCAGCCTTCGAAGGACCAAGATAGCGATGGCGAGAAGGACAAGTCTCCATGGTGTCAGGCTGAGGAGCGGGTCATCCCAAGCTGGAAACGGCATCGTTGCTCCGATATAGACGAATGTGGCGCAATTGACGAGCAGATCGATAATCTGACATTCCCCACGTTTGCCATTTGATCGCCTAGACAAGGAGGAGGAACTCACGTTGGCGAAGTTACTGTCTTCAATAGACTCTGAGAACCAATCGTCCCAAGCTATCAAGCTCGTCAGTCTACGTTGCGATGAGGAACAAAAAGAATGCACCGAATGCAACTCCACAAGCAAAGGAAGCCAACAGATCGTCACTCCCCGCTAAGGTGGTGACGCCAGTTGTAAAGAGCGCCAAAGCGACATACATCGCTACCATGGACTCCCTATCGATGAGCCCTCTCCTCTTTGAAAACTTCATGATCTTCCTCGCCATAACGCCAATGAAGGCTCCAATGAACGTTCCAAGGATGATCTGATAAAGCAAAACGAGCAAGATCCACTGACCGATCGTATCGCCCACCGAGACGTCTTCTCGTAAGAGGAGGAAGAGCGCGAGGAAGAGAAAAGGGAAGGCTGCGCCGTCGTTCGAGCCCGATTCGCATTGCAGCAAATGTCGTAGATGGGAGGGTACGTGTTCCTGTGCGAATTTTCCTCTACCTACGACGGAGGCGGCGAGCACGGGATCGGTAGGAGTAACGGCGGCGGCGACGACGAGGGATTCGAGGAAAGTCAATTTGGGGATGATGACATAGATGAGCGCGCCAGAGACCATCCATCCGAACAACATGCTGCTCTCATCAGCATCAACAAACCATGTCTTCAGCTCGGGGAGGGGAGGGACGGCGCACTTTGGGCCTAAGAGGATAGACAAGCTCTTCCAATGCTTGAGCACGTAACTTTTTGGCAGTTCCACTCCGACAGCAAACACCGATAGGGCGATAACGATGCGCATGATTTCTAACGTGACTTCGTTGAAGTCGCCCCCTCCGTTCCATGTTCTTGGTGCAAAGATGTCGGCTACAGTTTCTGAGAATACGATTCCGAGGCCGGTGGCGATGATCGGCTCTCCAAAGAAGAGTCGTTCCTTCACCAACGCGCTAAAGTCCGTATCAGTAAAAGGAATACTGGAGATAGGGGAATATATGTACCTGAACATGCCGAAGAAGACGGTGAAAGCACTGAGCAGTGTGTAAGCAAGATGGGCTACTGAGACTTCGGGTACGACTTTGAAGAGCTGTGCGAGCAAAATAATATCAGCAGTCGCATGGCATCAATCATTCAGAAAGACATACCTCCTCATGCGCATGATCGAGACCCTCCTCGACCCCTCCATGCACTTCGTACAATCCTGTGACATTTCCAAGCCGCAGCTTTGGGAGATAAAGGCTGAGATATCTGGTATTAATCGACATGCTGGGAAGGCGTCAGCGTTATTGGGAGATATTGTCCCGACTTTTAGCTGTTTCCAAAGATCAGTGATGCTCTTCTTTGCTCAAAAATTCAATCTGCGGAGTGCGGAGTGTGTGTGTGAGATAGGCTACAGAGGCAGAGGCGATCGGTGGTCCTCTCTGGCCGCGCATTACGCACTCCGACTTGTGTTCTCACTAACTCATTTCTTTTTGTTGCGAGTTAATGAGCATCATTCAATACGACACTTATGAAAAGTATGCCATGATGACAATGATCCTGACAGATCGGGATGCTTGCGCCAAAATCAGCGTCACCTAATTATGGAGAACCAAGAGGGTCCCCAATCTTGGTTTCAAGAGGGCTGAGAAGATGCCAGGCACTCCAACATCTCTTATAAACGCCACAAGCAAATTTTTACTCCCAAAGCCCCTGAATGGTCTCTAAGCCTGGACAAGCAAGTTAACGCACCTAATTTCTGCTGCCACTGCGCCAAAACAATGCGCGCCTTGCGTCAGAATCCAACAAAACAACCCGAGAGGTTCACTTCCTCCTCGGCAGCTGTGACTGTGGGAAATAACAAGTCTGGGTCGGTGGGAGGAAAGAGCGAAGGGGCGCTGATGAGATGGACGAGAACTGAGCTCCTCGATGCAAGAGAGTCTTGGAGCCGTTGTCTCGGCGGACGTAATCGAGCCGCTACCAGTCCTCCGGGTCCTGTGTCTGGTCTGCTCGGCCAACTTCGGGGACGAAACTATAGTCTTCAAACGCAAACTAGCAGACTCAACACACTGCTGGATTGCGAAGGAGATGATTATTTGTCCTGGAATGGTGTCGCTCTTATGGATGGTGTGCTGGCACGTTCCTGGCTGCTCTCTTGCAAGTTGCAACCATCGCCCCTCTTTGCGAAACATGGATTGATGCACGATTTGGCGCAAATAAAATGAGCGTGCATAATTATGTAAGATGAGAAGCAGGAGGCGGCGTAGAGAGACGTGGAGACAGCTTCTAAATCGTTGGGCCATTTTTGTTGTATCCTGGCAATGTTGATTGGGAACATGATCGATCGAACTTGAAGTACGCCAACTAGCAGAGAAAGGGGGGATGACGCTGGGCAAGGAGCGATGTCTACGAGATGAGATGAAGTGCATGGGTTGTTTATGCAAATATGCGCTTCTCATTCTCAGCTCTCATCTATGAAAAATGAGTTATCAAGAGAGTTTGCTTCGACGTAGAAAAATATCGGTTCTGAAAACGGCAACAAATTACAGTAACGCTAACGATTATGTCATGTCATTGCTTCATTGCTGGTGGACAGCTTGTGATTGGGAAACGAGATCAGGTTGAGCTGTTTGTTGGTTTGGGAAATAAAAACAAGGGTGAAAAAGTGAGGTTTATGTGGATTGAACACATGACCTTCAGATTACTAACTGTTACTTCAGTCTGACGCTCTCCCAACTGAGCTAAAACCTCTTTGATGCTAATTCTTTTCCTTTGCATACCTATATTCTAATGGCAGTTCAGCAATGCCACTTTTCTGAATCGGGGATCGGGAACTGGGAAGCGAACAAAGGGAATATTTTTCATCATACTCACACAGACAGAAGTCACTGATCTCCTCTCATACCTTTCCTTTCCTTACTCTTCCATCCATCCTTCACGCTGCTTCGACTCCCCAAAGTTTGTCAGTCCTTTGTGTCTTCATTCAGCACACGACTTGAATGCTAACAGCATGCCCACAGGCCCTCTCCACCTTGTCCATTCTCCAAAGTGTGCCCAACCTCCTTCAAAAGCGTATGAGCCCTCGCACACCCTCCCTCGTGCAGCGCGCCTCCTTTACGTTGGTTTCGAATATACCCATGAACAATGATTTCCTGCTCAAGACGCTCGATACCTTCTCCAACGATCCTCATCTCACCTACACTTATGGGGAGAAGAAGTATGGCCCTTTTTCGGTGAGACGGATGAAGGAGAGGGCGGACGAGGTTTGGGAGAAGATGGTGGAGTTGGATGATGAGGGAAAGACGGGGTGGAGTTTGGATCAGGCTCGTTTGAGGATCAAGTTGGAGGACGAGAGTAGGAGAGAAGATCCCAGTCCGTTTTCATTCTTTTTCGTTCTTTCGTTGACTGATCTCATACATAGGGAAGACCACTGAATGGGATTTTCAACCCGCAAACCTCTTGATCGAAGGCCGAGACGAAAGCTTTCCCGCTTCTGTTCCCGCTTCAGCTGAAGCATTGGACGAAGCTTTGGCAACGCTCTATCTTCCCTGGAAGAGACAGCACTGGCACGACGTGCGCGTGTACCCAGAAACCGTCACTCTCCGGAACCTACAGATTCGAAGGCGACGTGACCTCACTCGGTTCTTCAGCCGAACGCTCCTTAAATCCTCCATCAGACATCTTCGGGTCGAACAGACCTCCCAACCTCAACCTCGCCCTCACCCTCATAACAGTCTTCAGAACGCCACAGAAAAGGCAGGAACCCTGACCGTAGACGCGGTCCCCCTCGTTCTCTCCAAACTCAAATCCCTCACTCTAATCGGAGACTGTTACACTCCCCTCCTCTACACCAACCTCAACACCCTCCCACCCATCCTCCTCTCCATCCATCCCTCCACCCCCATCCCATTCCTACCCCGTCCCCCGCCTCCTCCGCCCCGCCTCGAACCCGCAGTCCTGCAGCGGTCGTGGGCGAAACAGCAGAAGAAGGAGGCGGAAGCGCTCCGGAGGAGCGGGAGGAGGTTGAAGCCTCATGAAGTCGGGTTTTGCGTCTCGGTTCTTGGGACATCGTTTCGGGTGAGGGAGAACGAACTGTTTCGGAGTCTGGAGGAGTTCAAGTTTCCGCCTCCGCCTTCACCTCCTTCGAATCCCCAGCGCAAGATTGATCGAGTTGGAATGGACGTGGCGGTGACGCCGCGGAGGAGGAAGAGGAGAGCGGAGGAGGAGGAGGAGGAGGAGTAGCCGATTAGCTCAGTCCAAATGTAGTTATGTCCGACCAAAGTCAGCACCAACAAGAAGTTAATACGGCGAAGTATAACACGGTTGGACACCATTTAAATAATTTTTTCACCTTCTTAATACCCCGAGATGTTATTTCTTAACGGTTCGCCTTAACGCTGATCTTTGCTCGACACCAGTTACTATTGAACTCTTGTTGTGTTTTGTTTGAACCTTCTCTCACGTCATAGTCTCACGTTCTAACATAGACGCTGCCCTGCTCTTAAACTTCTCGCTACTTACGCTGCCCAATGCTCTCGTCTCTACTTTCTTACTTCTTTGCTTTCACTTCGCTTTCGTTTTTGAACTTGTGCTTCTTTTCTTACGTAGGCAGTATTTGCAAACATGTTTCAGAGCTTCTCTTCTAGTGCCGTTGGATGGTTAGTAGAAAAGGAAGAGGAGTGGTTGCAGGAGGAAGTGCGGGAGGTTGGATGAGAAGAAGGAGTTGTAGCCGAAGGAGGGGAGAAAGAGGGAGAGGGAGGCTCAAACTTCTACACCACCGCCGCCTGACCTGTTCAAGAGGAATAGCTCGGTGAGGAGTGAGGGGTGGAGGCCGAGGCAGTGCAGGCTTTTGTGGAGGAGCGAGTAGGTGGCAGAGGAGAAGGGGAGGAAGGGAGAGGGGGTAGGAG